CCTTTCATTTGAGTACCCACATCAATTTTTCATATATTTTATATATTATATATATATATATATATGAAAAATATATCAAAAATGCAAGTGGGTACTCAAATGAAAGCTCTTGATGAGTGTAACGTCAGAATGAGCTTATATCTTTAATAACGTCAATATTTAAGAAAGTACAGTGGAATTTAACAAATTTCATTATTTAATAAAGCAAAATTTTGTTTATTTACTAATTTAACAATTAAATTTTTCTAGGTATCAAATATCCGACAATGCGAAAAAAATAAAACACTTCACGAAAGTTTTAAAAAAGTAGACTCGCCAAAAAAATCAACAAATAATTTCGCCGGATTTATAACTTGTACAGAATTAATAGAAATAGAAAATAAAAACAAAGTTACCGATAATTTAATAAATAACAAAAATCTAACGGCATTTAAAAGTGCGTTGGAATTGAAAATTGAAGAAGACAGTGAGAAAAAGAATAAAGAAATTTTTAATGGAGTTGAAGAAGATCATGAATTAAGTAATTTAAAAAAATTAATTTACGACGCTCCGAGCAATGAAGGTATGAATAAACATTTTAAATTTATCGATAAAAAATCCGATTTTTTATTTGATGAAAAAGAAAAATTTGAGAAAGAAAAGGAGAAAATTACTGAAAGTGTCAAAAAAGACAAGAAGATTAATGAGAGCCAATCTGCAAAAAAACGTCAAGTTAGAAAAAAAATCTCTGGCCAGGAACATAATTCTTTATTGAAATACATGGTCAGAAAAGATAGCGTTAAAAATAGTGATAAAAAAAATGTCAGTAATAGTTTTAATGAAATAACGTCTAACGATTTGGATGTTTTGGTAATAGATGACTCCGAGCCATTAAATGACGATAAAAAAGTTATTAACGCTAATAAAATTGACGTTAATGGTAAAGTTAATAAAAACTGTAAAAATAAACGGTCATATTCTTCACCAATGTCAGCCGAGACGGGTGAAATAAACCGGCCGAGTAAGCGAAGTAAAAATGATACAGTAGATAAAAATAATAAGAGTAAAAAAGATAAAAGTTTAGATTGTACTGATGAGAAAAAAAAATTACGATTTGATACTGCTAAAGTTCTTAAAGCTTATCTTATGAAGTTTTATCCTTCGAAAAGAATTCCTGATAAAGAATCTTTTACTAAAATTTGTCGAGGGATTCATGTGTTGATTATGGATAAAAAAATATTTGGTATGTTTTATTAATTTTATTATTATTATTATTGTAATTATTATTATTATTATTAATTTTAAAATTTGGAACAATAATAATAATGATTATAATTTTTACTTAAAATTTCATTGTTATAATTATTATTATTATCATCATTATTATGATTGAATTTAGAATTTGGAATAATAATAATAATAATAATAATAATAAAGCTACAAGCTTTTACGTTAAAAAATTTATTATTATAATGATAATTATTATTATTTTTATTATTATTACGCGGAAAGAACAAGATGACACTGGTTATCATCTCAGATTATACTCAGTGATATCTGCAGTGAAAAAAAATTTTTAGATAGTATAATGTAGATTTTAGTATAAACTAAATTTTCAGTTAGTATACAATCTAGATAATACTGCGTGATATCTGGATTGTACTCATTATTATCTGGATTATTCTAGCTACTATCTAAAAATTTTTTTCACTTAAAATAATCTGGGATGATATCTAGTGACATCTTGTTCGTTTCGTGTATTATTGATTTTAGAATTATAATTAATAATAATAATTCTTATTAAAAATTCTATCATTATTATTATTATTATTATTATTATTATTATTATTATTATTAATTTTTGAAATTTTGAACAATAATAATAATTATAATTTTTACTTAAGATTTTATTATTATTTATTATTATTATTTTATTATTATAATAATAATTTAATATAATTTAAATAAATATTAATAGCACATGATTTAATAATTATTTGTTTACAGCTGAACCGGATATTTACAAATTTGTGAGAAATTATTTACGTGAAAATACCAGTAATCCCAGTGGGTAAAAATAAAACCAATTACCAATTTACCTCACAATAATCAGTACCTCAAAAAAATTTTTTTTATTTTTAATTTTAATCATCGTTCATTGTAAAAACATGTTGATTATTTATTTGTGCTATTTATAAAAATACTTGAAAATTTTTCATGATATTAAATTTATTTTTTTTTTATAAAAAATAATGCTCATGACCATTAAATTGTAAACAATTAGACTTAGGTTTATTTTTTCTTACGATTGTTTATCATTGCTAACGACGCAACCAACTGTAATGTTTTTGCAATGAGTTAGTGTTACAAAAATATATTTAGGTGTAATGTGACGACGAGCGCTTGACATTTAATTTAATAGGAAGTGTTGAATAAATTTTAATAAGATAAAAAAATAATAAAAATTAGTTTTTATTATTGTTTAATACATAAACAACTCGTTAAAATTTCTTTATTATCCATTTATATTTGTTAAACTCGACCTTGTTTAATTTAGAAACAAAACCACGAATTACCGAGGTCATCTTATTATTCTGTTAGCTTCTTAAGTTATTTGCTAATATTGGCAACAACTACATACTTGTATTTAAACTCTTAATGTATTATTATTATTATTAATTTTGAAATTTAGAATCATAATAATAATTTGTATTATTAAGAGAATAAGGAAAATTTTGTCTCCAGGATTGTATTTAGGCTGCATTTGAAAATGCTCTATCTCTAGATACTTAATTAAGAAATTACCTTGTATCTTAAGAAATATTGACATTTTTTAAGATATAAGCTCATCTTGACATTATAGTCATCGAGACCTTTCATTTGAGTACCCACATCAATTTTTCATATATTTTATATATTTATATATATTATATATATGTATATATGAAAAATATATCAAAAATGTATGTAGGTACTCAAATGAAAGCTCTTGATGAGAGTAACATCAGAATGAGCTGATATCTTTAAAAATGTCAATAATAATAAAATGACTTTGCATCTTGTCAACTATTGACATTTTTAAAGATATTAGCTCATCTTGACATTATACTCATTGAGACCTTTCATTTGAGTACCCACATCAATTTTATTATATATTTGATATATTTATATATATTATATATATATGTATATATGAAAAATATATCAAAAATGCTTGTGGGTACTCAAATGAAAGCTCTTGACGCGCATAACATCAAGATGAGCTTATATCTTAAAAAAACGCCAATATTTACGAAAGTACAGTGCAATTTAACGAAACTCATTATTTAATAACCCAAAATTTTATTTATAGTTCACAAGTCACACAGTGATTGCAAGATTGCTAATAATAATAATATTTTTCTAAAAAACTATATTATTATTAATTTAAAAATTTTAAACAAAGCTTCAAGCTTAAACTAAAAAAAAATTTATTATTACATATAATTTAAGAATAGAAAATATAAATGAACCAACAGCAGTTGTCTTCTCATTACTATATATTTATTTAAAATTACACTGTTCATATACATTTATATATTCTTCCTGTTGGTGTTATACTAAAAATCAACGACCACGGCCTTTCAGTTTTAACGCTGTCTAAACTTAGATTCATTCCTGAGTCTTCAACAGTACAGTGTACATCGTCTTCTATTTTATCTTCATTTCATTTGTTCTATTTTATTGTTTACTATTAATGGCAATTGTCGAGGATTAATAACGTGTTACAGTTATTTAAATTATAAAAAAAAAACTAATTAATTTTATTTTTATTTAATTATTTAATTATTATGGCATACAGTTGGGATAATCGTGTAAGCTTTGTTGTAAGAGCTTTGTACGGTAAGTATTTATTTTTTTTTTTTTTTAAAGTGTCTTAATTAATTTTTTAAATTAATTAATTAAAATTAAACAATTGATTTTTTTTTTTTTAGATATTGATAATAATGGAGTATTAAATCAACATGATTTTGAATGTATGGCATTAAAAATGACATTAATGGAAGGCAAAGGTGATTTTAATTACAATCGTTATCAAGAAAATTTACATATCATGTTATCACTTTGGGAAGAAATTGCAGAGCTTGCTGATTTTAATAAAGTATTATTTTTTTTTAATAAAAAAAAATAAAAATTTTTTTTTAAATTAATTATAAATAATAAATTTTAATTAGGATGGTGTTGTTACTGTGGAAGAATTTAAAGAAGCTGTTCAAAAAAGTTGTATGGGACGAACTTACCGTGATTTTCCTCAAGCGATGAAAATGTTTATTGACAGTCATTTTAAATTAGTAGATATTAATGGTAAGATTAAAAAAAATTACTTTAATTTAAATTGTAGTCTATATTAATAAGAAAAATTTGGAATCTCTAGATATATAATTAAGAAATGACCTTGTATCTTGAGAAAGATTGACATTTTTTAAGATATAAGCTCATTTTTGTATTATACTCATCGAGACCTTTCATTTGAATACCCACATCAATTTTTCATATATTTTGTATATTTATATATATATATATTATATATATGTATTTATGAGAAATATATCAAAAATGTATGTGGGTACTCAAATGAAAGCTCTTGATGAGTGTAACATAGGGATGAGCTTATTTCTTTAAAAATGTCAATAATTAAGAAATAACCTTGTATCTTGTGAACTATTGACATTTTTAAAGATATAAGCTCATCCCGGCATTACACTCATCAAGACCTTTCATATGAGCACCCACATCAATTTTTCATATATTTTATATATTTATATATATTATACATATGTATATATGAAAAATATATCAAAAATGCATGTGGGTACTTAAATGAAAGCTCCTAGTGGGCGTAACATCGAGATGAGCTTATATATTTAAAATGTATATTATATATATGTATATATGAAAAATATATCAAAAATTCATGTGGGTACTCAAATGAAAGCTCCTGATAAGTGTAACATCGGGATGAGTTTATATCTTAAAAAACTCCAATATTTAAGAAAGTACAGTGCAATTTAACAAAGGTAATTATTTAATAAAGCAAAATTTTATTTATATTTCACAAGTCACGGCAGTCACATATATAGTGACTGCAAGGTTGCTAGTCATAATAATTGTTGATTAAAGCCCGATTTTTTTATACAGTAGCGGAACATAATCGTCGTAAGCGGCTTCATAGAAACTCCCAGCGATTGGAGCACCAAGTTGATATTTATTAGCAAACTTTTTCATAGACTGATTTGGTCGGCCATATGCTTCAGTTTCAGAGATGCGCTGTTCGTCGAAGATGAGTTTTCCCGGCTGTTTGTAAACCACGATTATATACCGATGGAACCCGGTATCTTTAGGGGGTCCGGGGCCTAAGTACCCGACTACAACCTCTCCTTGAGATACTTTGTCCTCCGGGATGTTCACCACTGTCCAGTGGAAGAATTCCGGCATTGTCGGGTTACTGCGGCTGGGTATGTCGGGATCTGTGATTGTATTATTAAGAGAATAAGAAAAATGTTGTCTAAATTAAGAAATAACCTTGTATCTTATGAAATATTGACATTTTTAAAGATATAAGCTCATCTCGATGTTATACTCATCGAGACCTTTCATTTGAGTACCCACATCAATTTTTCATATATTTCATATAATATATATAAATATAT